GATCCCTAACAATAATGTCCCCGGAGGAAAAAGCGGGCACAAATTCTTCGTTTAATTCTTCATCATAACTTAGCACAATCGTATTTGGACCGGAAAAGGCGATTGAAGAAGCCTCAATAGCTGCTTCGGTCAGTTTAACCGTCGAAGCCGATGGAGCGGAAATATTTCCCGCAGCATCTACCGCGTAAGCCCGGAATGTTCCGGCAGCCAGTCCTTCGGTTGAGATAAAGGTTTCTCCATTAGCGTTCGTAACTTCTGCTTTGGCTGCTTGATGCTCGTTAACCCAAATATTTAATTGGGATGCATTCGCTGGGATGCTTTCAAAAGGAACCAAATATACAAATCCGGTTTCTGTGCTAGTTACTTTTACGCTTTCGCCAACAGTTACTGTGTTGGTTGACAAAAAGTCGGTGCCGAGAATCAAATCGACTCCGGCATGATGAGGCATTATCCATACTTCAAACTCGTATGCCACTTCCCAGCCGAGTGTCACCTTCATCACTGCTCTTGACGTTGTCACCATTCTGTCTTTACTTATTCCTTGTATGTCGATTCGCTTATCTCGGCTGGCCACTCTCTTGAGACGCAGTTTCCTCGCAAAGTACTCACTAATCGCCGAGACATTTGCTCCGGTATCCAATAATATCTTGGTCCTTCGGTCGCTCAGTCCACCCTATACGAGGGCTCTCATTCTAACTCGGCGATCAAACGTCTGTGCTGACCACCATCCCAGCCGTTCTCCCGGAAGCAGCTTCATGATTCTGGTACGATGCACAGCCTGGTCTGACTACTTGCAATCGCTCGGTGGTTATCATCTAACTCACCGAGCTCACATTCAATTCCGTCGATTTCACACATCCAATTGCCATCCCCGCTTCTTCCCTCGGGCCGTCCTGCTTCGCCTACGAAGGCAAACAAGAAGTTTGCCTCAACTGCAGGTTCAGCTGACTGTGGCAGCCCGGCATATTCCAACCCAGTCAGTGTTGGCGGACCGCCGAGTTTAAATCACTCGGCGCGTAAAGGTTTGCAGGTCTTCTGGCACTTGCGACTTGTCGACAGAGTTTTTCACGAACGCAGCCAGCTTCTCATATTGACGAAACAGCTCGCACTGGCCGCCTTCATGGACTTGTCTGCAGAATTTGCAGCGTCGTCGACAGTAGTGAGCCGAGTGCCCCATTCTTCCACAAGCTGCACAAGGTCCACGTTGAGAGAGTTGTCGCGTGATCCATCTCCACGGTTCGACTGTTCTCGTTGGTTGTACGGTCGCGGAGGTCGGTTTGCTGAGTTCCCCCAACTTCGATTCGAGCCATTCTGGTCTCCCGCCGAGTTCTTTCGGCGGTCCGGTGTATTTCCTTTATCATTGGAAACGCCGGCGTCTATGTAGTCGTCGTCTTCCGCTGAGTCGTGTCCTCCGGACTGGTCCTCATCATCCCATTCGTCTTCGGAGCTGTACGGACTCGGCGGGTTCTAATCGATGAGTTCCTTCCCGTCGGAGTCAGCGTCAACGATAGTGACTCGGCGGTCGCGGTTTTCTTCATTGCGACTGCGCTTCTCATCTCGACGTCCATCTCGGCGTTCATCTCGGCGGCTCTGATACTTCCGCTTGTCATCTCGGCCTCGTGCGATCACGAGTCGGTCGCGTTACTTCTTGCGCTTCTCGCCGAGGATCCGACGATTGATTATCTGTTCCACCTTGCTGATGTCTTCCAGCTGCAAGAGGTACATCAAATCCATCACATCGTCATCACCACACTGCAGCAAGAGGTGTTCGACATGGTTAGCCGCGTCGGCTCCACCCTTCTCGTACTGGATCTTGGCTGTCCGAGCATACCCGTTGAGTCGGGCCAGGAAGTCGCAGATCGGTTCGTTGACTTTACGTCTCGCCGAGTAGTAACGAGTGCGGGCGGATTGGTCGAACTGTGAGCAATAATAATCCAGGAACGCCTCGCTGAGTAGTTTCCAACGTCGCTGAGTCTTCTTCGGCAGCTGCCTGTACCAACTCTTCGCCGCGCGTCCCAAGCATAGCGAGAAAGGCTCGCACCATGCACTTTGGGGTATCCTGGTGCTCTTCATCCCGTAGATGAAACGCTTGAGCCACTGGAGCGACGCGTCAGAGCGGTAGCGCTTTCCTTCGAACTCGGCGAATTTGTCGAGCGAGGCGTGGGTTCGGACTTCTAGGTACTGCGTCGAGTCCTCTTCAGCCGCGTCAAAGCTCAAGTTTCGGATGTAGTCCTTCACGGTTTCTTCTCGGTTACCTCTCACGTCGAAGGCATCGCCGTCTTCTTCATCCTCCTCGTAAGCCTCAGCCTCATCTGCAGCGTCATACAATTCACGATAACGACCTACATTTCGCTGCCCACGACTCGGCGCTCGCTGAGTCGGGTTTAGCTTTAATGGAGTCAGCATGTGAGAGTCTTCGAAGTACGGAGTCCCTTGCGTAGCGCGGAACACTTCACGTCTCTTCGGCTCCGGGGTCTTCGGCAAAGGAATCTTGCTTGGGTCCTCGCCGAGTGGTTTGAACTCGGCTACTCGGCTGTACACCTTCTTCGTTCCACCAGGGGCCTTCTTCAATCCAAACGCCACTCTCTACTTCTTCTTCCATTGCCAGAGCTCAGCTCCGCCACGGGTCAGACTCCAGTCGGACAGGATGAGGCTGTTTGGTCGGCTGTTGCACCGATAGCCCATCGCCTTCAACAGCAACACAGTTTCCTCTACCAACTGATTGATGTTGGCTGCACGCACCGATTGACTTAACTCAGGACCCAACATCGGCCACTTCGCCTGCGCCATCGCCACAGGCGCGAACTTTATCATCCATTCCGATCTCGTTCTCATATCCTCGCCGAGTCGAGCCAACACTTTATTAAGGCTCGGCGTATCGGCGTTCCTCGTCGCTTTCGGAATAAGGGGCGGACGGTCCCCTTGAGCAACGCCATGTTCTTCTTCATCTTCTTCATCGTCCGCACCTTCGTCGAGCTCGGCGGATTAGTTACGCTCGACAGGACGTGGGGCTCCCATGCGTCCCACCTGCAGCGTCAACTCTTCCACCTCGCCAAGTAGCTCGGCGGTAGTCTTCGTTTCTCCGAGCTCAGCGGTCTCGGCCTTCTCTTCATACTCTCCTTCACTTGCATCTCCATTCTCGCTCTCCTGGTCTTGGCCATCCTCGTCGAACTGGACGGTTCGTCCCACCTCCATCGTCATGGCGATGAGTCGTTGATCCGCCGGGTCCGACCCCGCGAGAGGCGATCCTCCAGCCGTCGCTGGGCTTCCGTCGCTCGGAGTTGCTGATCCCTTGACTATCTTCACTCTCCTCTTTCTCTTCTCTTCCTCTTAACTTGGTTAGCTGGCACCTATAAAAACAAGCACACACTCCTGTTCCCGGGTCGCGGCACCAGTTGTGGTGTAGTAGAACACACAAATACCGTCAGATGTGGATTCCTTACACAAACCACAACAAATCGCCGAGATAGGTCGGCGGTTGTATGGCCTGCGCAGAGGGTGGTCCCCTCGCGGTCCGGCCCTTCCGGGACAGACGAGTGGCTCGCTTCCACTCGGTTCCGACTAGCCAAGTCAGATCACTTCCGAGGCTCCGCCGAGTTTGATTCGGCTGAGCTCGTTCACAACCCTGTGCCCTCCACCAAAGGATGGCGGCGCGCGAGCGCTTTTACAGGTCACCGAGCGCAGAGGCTGCTCAGCTAGAAGTGTTACGGCACCCGGGCTATCCGACGTAACGGCCCGCTGAGTGTGCAGGACTTTCTTTCGCGCGTAGCGAGACTTTGTCCTACCCGGACCGACCTAATCTCTTGGCGCTACCAGTCAATACCCTACAAGCTATGCCTCTCGAGTATTGACGGCAGGCATAATCCAGCCCTATGCAGGGACTTACCGGTAAAGTGTACACGTGTCTTGGACTAGGAAAATTCTGCTCTGTTATCTTCTGGGATCCTTTTCGGCTCCCCCTATTTAATCCTATGCTTCATATACAAATATCTAGTGAAATGCAGTCGTTACCGACCCTTCAGGCGACCGTTGAGCTCAGCGGCTATCCGGATAGCATATCCGGACAGATCGCCAAGTACTTACCGTGATCCTTTGTTCTTAAGCTCTGGGTTATTAGACCGAGCCGATTCTTGACCTAAAGTAGGTTGGCGTATGGTCGAATCTGGAAATCCCTACACCACACTTTGCGATTGTGAAAACTGTTGATGCCAACATGAACAGAATCTATAAATGAATTTCGTACCAATTTATAAGGATTTTATTTTTGTGAAGCGCACAAAAATGTTAGAGTGATTTGATTGGTTAAAAGTTTAGAGCAAGCATCCACAGTAAAATGTACTAAAAGGTTGTTCACTAGAACGGAACACAACTGAATTTGCCTCGATGGTGCGAGCGCTCGTGATTGCTTACACTTTGTGTTCTGTATTTAGGGAATTCTTTGTTGATTTTTGCACGAAAAATCCATACAAATCACCTGATTTGGAAGTTTTAATTATACAAATGTGACCACATACCGGTATTCATGTTGCATGAACGTTGATCCAGTTGACGCCTCGTTGCTGTAGCTAGCTTACAGTAAAATGCTTTCGGGGTAAATGGTTCAGTAGTGTGTGCCACTAAATTATGTAGACATGATGGGGTGAACCTTGTTAAAGCGTACTTTGTATTAATAAATATAATTAAACAGCTTTAGTAAATGCAGTTCAGAGTTTTCTAAAAAGTTGACTTCAACTTGCTTTTTTGTCGAGTAGTGCTTTATTTGTAAGGATGGCTGCGCGACTACCTGTACGAGCTGTGAATAAGTCATTAGTGAGCATTTGTAAAGTGAAGCGATCTTCAGGTTGAAGTGCACATCCAAACGTTCTACCTATACATGTACATCTGCGCTCATTAGGCGTCCAAAGAGGTCATACTTTTCGTACCATTTCTTAATTCTGACTCCCCCTATTATGTACTATTAATACTCGTATTATTATATATTAGAAAGCTTTTCAGATCGCCTACAACCGCCGGCCTTCGTCTTCAATTTCATCAAATAGCCCTCTACTAGCGATAGTATCCGCCATCATCTCCATATTCATCGTCTCTTGGAGCTGAGTCAAATACTCAAAGTTGGCCTTACAATCCAGAGAGCAAAATTGGCCGGCAGCGTTGCTCAGCGACGACATCGACTTGAAAAACAACCGCTCGCAGTTGGCGCAGTGGGTCTGTCGTTGTCGCCACGAGGCTTCGCTCTCACTGTCGTCCACTGCGTACTGACGTACACGGTGAGGGCTCGTAAACGTGGTAGGCACTTTTGATGATGCAGAAGAGGTGAGACTGTTCGGGATTGCGATGGTAGCGCTAGGATGGCTTTTGACGAACGTCGGCTCCAGCTCAGTAACTGGTTCCGCGCATCCCGGCCAAGACTTGGCTCGCTCTGTATCCATCGAGCGTTGCTTCCGCTTGAAGACCAGTCGGATCATGCGAGATGCGAAGCTTGGACGAGACGTCATCTCTTGCACCTTGGTCTTGCTAATAGTCATGGCATAAGGCGAAGACGAGGGCTGATTGCTCCCCATACGTGCTGCGTGATTCATGAGTTGGTTGTTGCTTTGTCGAAGGTGAATCGAGAAGTGAGTGTCAAACCTCGACGCTAGCTGTGGCGCCTTCTACGAGGCCGTAGTCGGACGAATTCCTCCATTACGGATACACTTGTGATCTAGTCGACCTGCTCGCACGCCACGACAGTCGGAGCGACGAGGTTTTAGTTCTTTGAAATGAAAATGTCAGGTCACTAAACAACAAGCGACTCAGAGCTCTCGACTCTGTCGTCGAACACTTAGAGTCGGTAGCGGCAAAGTTGTCTAACAGCTCAGCGCCAATGTTCCAGTTTATCGTCTGATAACAACGCTTCACAATGAGATTACCGTGATGTACAGGCCAACGAGCGCACAGAAACGCAGTTCACGTCGAGCACAATTGCTGACTCAAAACACTTTTGAGTCAAAGTACGCTTGAAGATGGATTGGCCACCGGCCTAAGTGTTCGGATTGTCGTCTCGCAGGACAACTCGCCACATAGTTGAGATTAGAAGAATGAATCGGAATTCCGGCGGGTGTTCGCTGTCTTTGCAGCCAGCACTGGGACGTGGACACAAGTGCTTCGGTTCGCTCGCTCGGTGCAGGAGTCGAGAGGACCAAGACTCCGACGAATGTGGTGGACTTCGGAGAACAAAACCACGAGGCCGGTGAGCACGCGAAAGGTAAGAGCCATATTAACTTATTACGGCCTTCACGATGACATCAAATCTCATACAAAACTAAAGCCAAAAGGAAAGGATCCTATGCTGGGCAACTCGTCTGGTATCTTGTGTGTTATCCAAGTGTTTTTCTTCCTCAGCAGCACAGATCAGCTATCGGCTGGTCGAAAGATTCACTTCCTCTATATCCCAGCATGACAAGGAACCTCCACGTACAAGAACTCGTCACCATCCGATGGACACAGCGGTAGATTATCCAGAGGCACCCAAGTTTCACCCACTTCGGGCTCAGTGGATTTAGTTGATGCAAATTCGACTCGGACGGAGGCTACGACCTCTCTTTTTGCAAGGCAAAATAGCTTACTGTAAAATACAAGCACCCCAGTTACGAAGCGACTCTCCCCTCCGCAACGGTCATAATCTCAAAGTTCTAACATGCTAGAATAAACCACAGATGAGATTTTCCACATAACATCCTGGTAGATACTGTACCCGAAACTCCGATTTAAATCTGGCGACAAACTAGATCCAACGCATGAGACCCCAAGCAAAGTGTCTGTCGTCTCTCCGCATCGGTGCCAGCAGCTCAACTTGCAAGTGCCTGTTGAACCGCGACTTCAACTTTGGCGCTTCTATCCCAGTTCTCAGCTTTACTTGAAGTTTGTAAGGTGTTGTGCAGCGAAAATACCCTCCCATTTCTAGATTCTGATGACGAGAACACAGAGATTCTCTTTGTGTTCGCTTTAAGAACAAGTTGCAGTCGTTGCTGCAGTTGTTGCAGTTGCTGCTGTCAATTTGGGAGAAAACGCCCAGGCCGCCTGGATGATGGATGGGCTTCAACCATCTTGTGTGTTCGTCTCACATGTCAAATCGCGTTGCCGCCCACAGGAAAAGTCTCTGATCGAGCAATGTTGCGACGTCACCGCAACGAAAGGTCGCGCGTCCACTTTGCACCAATCAGATTGGTGGATAACCGTACGCGTCACCTTTCTGCCCTAACCACATTTGATGTAATACACACACGCAACATTCAACTTTTGCGTCTTCGGCATTCCCGATTCCGCACTGCTCGGAAGACCATCACTCTTTCTTGTGTCGGTGCGACCATCACTCGTGGTGTGCACCATGTCCGGGCGCGCGTCCATCGGCGACTATGTCGTCACCAGCAAACTAGGCAGCGGCTCGTTCGCTGTAGTGTACAAAGGCTACCACAAGGTCAGCAAGACGCCGGTCGCCATCAAGGCGCTGTCGCTTCACAAGCTCAATAGTAAATTGTTGAGTAACTTGGAGATGGAAATCTCCATCATGCGTCAGATCGACCACCCGAACGTCGTGAAACTGTACGACATTAAGAAGACGGAGAAGCACATGTACCTCGTGCTTGAGTACTGCGCCGGGGGCGACCTACAGCACTATATGCGACGTCGACAGCAACAAAGTGGCGGTAATTTACTCCCAGAGAGCGTGGCGAGGCACTTTCTGCGCGAACTGGCCAAAGGAATGCAGTGTCTGTGGCAGCACAACCTCATCCATCGAGACCTAAAGCCACAGAACCTGTTACTCGTCGAGGACTCGGCCACTTCCGCGCTTAAAATCGGTGAGTAATTCAGATGGGTACATAATAACTGTGTATTATATTAACAATAACTGTTTAATTTCTGACAGCGGACTTTGGCTTCGCGAGACACTTGGCCACGGCGTCAATGGCTGAGACCCTGTGTGGTTCCCCACTGTACATGGCTCCAGAGATCTTAAAGTTCCAGAAGTACGACGCCAAGGCCGACCTCTGGTCCGTGGGTACAATTTTGTTCGAGATGCTGGCTGGTCGACCACCTTACGGAGGCGCTAACCACGTGCAGCTACTGGCCAATATCGAGCGTCAGCCTCTACGCTTCCCGCCCACGTTGCAGCTCTCCAGACCGTGTCGCCAGCTGTTAGTGGCCTTATTGCAGCGGAAACCGGCGCTACGTCTCGGATTTGCCGAGTTTTTCGCCGATCCGTTCGTGGATCTGCAGCCGTTGCCGGAGCAAATAGAAGAAGCCGAAGCTACGCGTCGGTCGTCGACGCTGTCGACTACTGCGAGCATTCGAGAGGAGGAGGACGAACAGGGAACTTCCGAGCGGTGGGGGGTCTCGACAGCAGGAAACAGCAGAACAGGAGCAACAGACGCAGAGAACTCGTCGACGCCTCGTCGAGGAGCCGGCAGTGATCGACGGTCGCGTGCTTTCTCGGTGTCGCACGAGTCAAGCTCGAGCTCCCGTACGGTGCCGTCGACGCTGCTGCGTCAGTCTCGAAGCGGCAACTTGGAAGTGATGGAAACTGCCTTTGCGAGTGCCAGTTCTGGCTCTGGAGCTCTGCGTCGGTCGTCATCGTCACGACTGGCGAGAAGTCGACGCGCCTCGTCCAGTGGCAGCGGATTAGCTGGCGTTAATGCAGGCACAAGCCCCAAGCTCAGTCCGCAAATGAGTCCACACATTCTACCCAGCCCCAGTCCAAGGATTAACCCGTTCAAACAGCTCTCCGAGTCGCCTCCAGGTGCTACAGCAGCTCAACAACAGCTGTCATTGTCTCGGAGCAAGAGTTCTCAGCCAAAAGCCAGTGATGCTGTTGTTACAAGACCCAAGAACACGACGACAGGCCATGCTCTGGACAGTAGCGGCGAGTATGTGCTGGTGGATGAGTTATCAGAACGTCCAGCGACGGGACGACAGGAAACGCCTCGTACAAGTGGAGAAAACAGTAGTAGATCCACTACGGGAGACGTGACGACCAGAGCGTTGCCTGCTGGTGGCAATACGCAGAGCTTCTCGCGAGAATACGGACAGCAACTTATCGACATTGTGGTGCTACGTACGCAGGCGATTGCTCCGATCGCAGATCAATTGTGGACGCTAAGTGGCTCTGGAGATATCTCGTCGGGGTCTGGGACGGAGAATGCCAGTGAACCGGTAACTGGAGACTGGTCTCCACAGCAGACAGAGAATAATTCCTCATCTTCCGGCGGGAAACGGGCGAGTGTGAACTTCTCGACGGTCTTTTCCATGAGCTCGTCGCTGGCTTCGTCGATCGGAGTGAGTAACGCGCTTGCGGAGGATGAAGACGATGACGACGACGATGATGAAAAGCGTACTGCGGAACGACAATATGTGTATGCTGCGGAGGCGTTGGCGCTGTACGTCAAGTGTTTACGACTCGTACAGCACGTGGTGCTTTATTTCCGTCACGAGCAGACGTCTCGAGGTTCCATGGGATCCTCGGGATCGTCTGGAGCGTCAGGATGGAGCGAAACGAGTCGGAAAGTGTCGATGGCCTTCTTGTCCGAACAACTGACACATTTCCTGGACCGCGCAGAGCAGTGCAAGACGCGTATGGCACGTCTACGATCCCCTACGCGCTCTATTGCGTCTCAAGAGGAGCTGTTATATGCTCACGCACTTCGACTCGGACGTCAAGGCGCCATCCGCGAAGTTCTGGGCCAAACTCGAGCTGCACACGACCATTATCTGCAGGCTTTGCTGCTGCTCGAGAGCTTGCTCATGGACGTCCATGGCGCTGCGCTAGCTGTGGACGATCAGAAGAACGTGAACAATTTCCTGCGTGCACTCGAACAGCGCTTGAAGAACGTGCGCAGTCTTCTGGACGACGAGAACTCGAGTGCTGCGCCGTCTTGTCGTCCTCAGCAGGTTTCGTATCGCCCTTCTGCGACGGCTGCAGTACTATGACGGCAAGGAAAGGAGACTCCCGCCCGTATCGATATTTTGCATGTACATTTCATACCAATTACGTCAAAACGAGTAAATTAAAAGAAAATAATAAAACCTTCTAACGCGCAATAATTGTCAAAGTACGGGTTTCGGTGGTCGCATGGCAAGAAGCAAGAATTTTGCCGTGACCCCTTCGCAAGTACGCACGTGACCTCGTGGTTTTGCTCTAGGACTTGGTCGCAGGTGTCGACCCAAGTGCTTTACGTCCTCGTCCCAGGGCCAAAGACACCGAACACCTCGCCGGAATTCCGATTCATTCCTTGGATCTCGACTATGGGGTCACTAAAATTTATTTCTTGCGAGACGGCAACTCCGAACACCATTGTGTCGGTGTGCCAATCCAAACTTCAAGTTTGACTCAAAAGTCCTTTGAGTCAGCAACTCCACACCAAGCGGACTGCGTTTCTACCTGTTTTAATCAGAAAATGAACTGGAACAATGGTGCTACAGTAGACTGCCACCATGGAAGGCTACTGTACCGTGTTGCCTGTTGGTGCCCGGACGCCCGACAACAAACAAACATATACCACGTCGTGCTGCTGTTTAGTGTGACCAGGAGTTTTCATTTCAAGGTTTCTACTAACCCCGTCGCTCCAAATGCGAGGCGACCCCACTTCGAGGAATTCATTTGACTACGACGAAAGCGGCAGTCGAGGTTTGTGAAACTCACTTTTCGACTCGCCTCCACGCGACCACAATCGAGCCATGAGCCACACAGCATCAATATCTGACAGCAGTCAGCTGTCACCATCGAATACATGCTACACCGAAGAAGATATAGTGTCCCGACCAAGCTTTGCGTCTCGTATGATCCGACTGGTCTTCAAGAGACGACGACGCTCTGCTGACGAACAAGCCAAGTCTTGGCCCGGATGTGCGAAACCAGCTCCTCTGCCAGTACCGACGGCTGCCAGAAGCCAACCTAGCGCCACCATCGCAATCCCAACCCGTCTCGCTTCGTCAGCCCCGTCGAAAGTACCGACAGCGTTCACCAGACCTCAGCAGGTCCGCAAACACACAATGGACGACTGCACCAGTGAAGCCTCATGGCGGCAACGACAGACTCACTGCGTGAACTGTGAGCGACTGTTTTTCAAGTCAATGTCAATGCTGAGCAACGCAGCAGGTCTATTCTGTTCGCTGGATTGCCAGGCTAGCTTCGAGTATTTGAGCCAGCTCCAGAGCATGCTTGACACGCAAAAAATTCCGTGTGACGGATCTAGTGCTCCCTGGAATTCCAGCTGTACCAAATACAAGTGTGCGTCGCGAACAGAGTCACCCTTTGTAGTGTGATAACTCGAAACACGATACCAAACTTTCGTATTCGCGATACTGTACGTGTGCATACAAGTTAAAATCGACGACCGACTATCTTCCAACGGAGACACAATGCTTGCCTGCGACAAGTTGAAAAGCAAGTCTGTCCGTGCATCCTGTAACTCTTTGTTCAACACGGAGGTACAAACTATTGTACGCCTTTAAACAAATATGTGAGACACTTAAAGGATGATCAGTAGCAATATCACAAATACTTATCGAAGAGCCAACCCATAAAGGCAGTGACCAAAACCAGCGGTGTTGGTGTCAAAGGGGCTTGAAGGTCTGACTCAGCAACAGCTTTTCCCAGTGCATCGCCCACTCCCAAACCCAGTTTTGTAGTCATGTTGGTTGCGTTTCCATGCCACAGTCGCTAAAACAGCATCCTGGCTGCGAGGCTAGACTGCTAGACAACTCGTTCTCTGAAGTGAAGAGGGGTTTCCCCCGTCTCGCTTTTAGAGAAGAGGCCAACTTCTTGATCTCATCACCCGATGTGGGAGCCGGCATAGCGGTGGTAATCTTAGCTCGAAGAGTAAAGAGCGTCGAGGACTGCAGTGGGCGGCGGAATTCAATGCTCATTCTCCAACCTTCTGTCTACTGCTGTGTAGATAACTCATGCCACGTCTGGAAAGAAAGAGAGCGTTCCGAGTATCAAGTAGCAAAGGCGCAATTGCGCACCGTCCGAGCTTCGCGTCGCGCATGTTCAAGCTTTTCTTCAAGCAGACATCGTCTCCAGATGAAGCCCGACCCAAGTCCTGGTCCGGAGAACCGGAACCTGAGCCCACTGCTTCCATCGAACCTCTCATTCGCCACGCTAGCGCTAATGTCATCATCCCACGCCGACACAGCTCGTCAGAACGAGCATCAAGAACGCGCAGTATTCGCGAGGAAAATGGTGACGACGACGACTGCGACTCGAGCTGGAGGAAGCGACAGACTCATTGTGTAAACTGCGAGTGTGTGTTCTTCACTGCTCTTTCTCCACTGAGCTGCAATGCCGGGAGGTTTTGTTCGCTGGACTGCAAAACCAGCTTCGAGTACGTGAGTCGTCTTGAAGAAGTGCTCGCCATGCACATGCTTGATGATGGCTGCAATTCTCTGGTTTCAAGCTCGGAAGAAGGTGATTATGAGGTCGAAGAACTCGACCTTGATCAGCTTTAAAAGTGCTTCGAGACAATAGTAACAATGAATCATTTGTACGAGAAAAAAAAAACAGACGGCCTGTCGATCTGTACAGTAACATCGTCAATATCAGTGTTTCAGAAAAGAAATGATACGCTCATCATCATACTCGATGCTCTCATTACGCGTTAGTGGGTGGGGACAAGCCACGTTCTCCAAGGTTTGAACTTTGGCGGTAGGTCGGGTTCAGAGCACCAGAATGTGAACTGCATTGGGCTGGAGACGGTAGTGGGGCCCTCGATGAATGGTACCGAGAGCGTCGTCAGCCCGTCGTAAATAACAGTATACCTCTCGGAAGCCCAGTCGACTGAAACTTCTACTTTAACTCCAGAAGACTCGTATCCACCAAGAACTTGATCCTCCATAAACTTAGCCAGCTCCATGGAGCTTCCGTTATCATTGTAGTAGTACTGGGTTCCCGACAGTGAGTACACATTCGTTCCTTTGCCCTTGTTGACGGGAAACATGCTCTTGGCTCGCGTTATTTCCAGATACGAAGTAACCCCGGGGTAATGTGTTTGACTTAGGCTTTGGATGCATGAGTTCCCTGTAGTAGTCCACTCTGTTGCACTACATGTGAGCAATGCAAGAAACTTTTGCTTGGCTTGAAGTGTCTGCATCTTGATGAAAGCGCCATCCAGGAGCTGACCTGATATGTCAAAGAAATAACCCTTTTCAGGCATACCGACAGCGCCCATGGTATCGAGAGCTGGAAGCAAATTGTTGCTGATAGCAGCCGAACACTCCTTGTCGTCAAAGCAGGCTTGACGCTGGGTGGCACATAAACTACACGAGTCACCTGAATATGATCCGCCAGCATTTGTAGAATTTGATGACGGTGAGCCATCGGACGTTCCGACACCGTATTCTAGCAGGTCCAGTAGTCTGTCAAATGGTGGATAGCGATTAACTGACTGGAGTGTGATCTTCCAGGGCCGGACGATTAATTCTGCTGGTGGGTCGGCTGATTCGTCGGACTTTACGATGAAAGTAGGGATCCATGTTGGACTTACCAGAGCCTGTGCGTTGCTAGCTTTATCAAAGGGCCCGTTCACCTTCAGGGATATTGTGGCGATCCGTGACACGTCGTCAACTGTTATATTCAGCACTAAAGCACTCAGATAAGTTGGGTCCAAGGAAGTCTTAAACCAATTCGTGAACTTTTGGGCGGAATCCATTGGAGAAGTCGCTCCATCCGAAGAGTACGAGAAGACGTTTCCGTTCAGCCACATGTCCAGTTGTGTGGTAGGATAGATGCGCACTGTCAGCTCGACAACTGCCGAGTCAATATGAAGTCGCGTAGGCTCTTGAAACTCCTTGTCAGAAGTCCACTGGCCGAATCCTACTTCACAGCCACACGATGATATGGATTGGAGTACGTGCGAGAGTGCAAGCCATCCTTCACTAGACAAGAACGCCTTGTCTTTGAGCGACACAAGTGCCGAGCTCAAGTCTACTCTAACCTGTGTCCGTCCGTCATTTTGCGTACTGGTTGAGAGGGAAAACGAAGCGTTACGCAGCAATGGTACCAATACATCTCTGGCCGAGACAGCGCAATCCATATCGTCCCGACATCGCGTCACAGCTTCCAAGCATTCCGGACACCCGTCACAAATCTGACCCCCGCTGAAGATATCACCCGAGTAATAAAACAGCCGTCGACTGTCGGACGGGTATCCAAACCAATAGTTGAGTAAATCAGCCGAGACAGTTTGGCCATATCGAACTCGATCTGGAACGACACAAAGGTCATCAGGTCTTCAACGTCAATTGTATCGCCCTTCAAAAGAAACTGTGGAAGCGCCGTCACAGCCGGGTAATATGTGAAATCGTACCGCACTAAAGTGCCATTGACTGATGCCTGAATCTCCACTTCCGAGTCATCATTGATAGTTGCACGCAACCAACTCTGGATGTCGTCACTTGAGGGAGAAAATCCAACCGACTATCATTGAGAAATGCCACTATTTTGCCGTCTGTTGGCAGAGTCACTGCGAAATGGCCCACAACTTTCATGGTAACGGGCACCAACGGAGCCACTGGATCGGAAGGCAAAGCATAACCGACGGGACACGCTTTGGCACTTAAGCAAGACAAAAACTTCATCACCTTCTCGTATGCTTCAGAGTCAACAGAATTCGTCCATGAAGCGAAAGTCCCGGATAAATCGATCGACGATCGTGGCGTAGATAAACGTAAGCTATCCGAGAACAAAGATAACACTTTGTAGCGCATGGCGTCAGCACAGGATTGAGTTGAGACGCATCGCGTCCAGGCGTCCATGCATTGGTGACAAATTGGGATATCTTCAGCTTTGGTATTGACATTGATAAAGTCAGCAAAGTAGTTAGGATCCCCGCCGAGATCATGCATCCAATTCGAGAGTTTTCTCCATGTCACCAGGGGGTAATTATCCCGAACACTCTCGTTGTTTTGGTTGCGATATGCACCAATAATCGCCTTCCAATTACTCGAGTTGTGTTTGTCGTATTCTCCACCAGACGCAGGTTTGAACTGCGGCGGCTCAGACTCGATGAAGTAACTGTTAAATGTCACGGTAAAAGTGCGTTCACCTGTGTGCTGGTCGACAATCCACACTTCTATCCATGCCGAGCCCGAAGGATTCCGTGTCCACAAATTTTCATTAGGATGATGCATGCTCATAACGCCCACAATAAACTCACGCAGTTGACTCTGCTGTTCCACATGCGCTGCGTTCCACATGAAAAGATGTTCTTTTCCACGGTACTTCATCAATATGTTTTCCAGCTCGCCCGTTGGAGTTATTGGCACGACGAAAGAGCTTTCAGCGGGAATAATCTTCAGCAGTGTCGGCTCTGCCGTAACGTAGTCACCTTTGTCATGGCCGTATACTCGTCGAGACAAATCCAGCTCACACGCAGCTTTTGAGATGCATATCATTAAGCTCAGGAAGACGTCATACCCGTCTGCGCTGAAGAACGATGCAGCCTGGCGTATCTGGGGTCCAACGTCCACACCCCACAGTCTTCGGTTGTAGTTAGACATAGTATCGTCTGGGATTTCGTATGGCTCGAAGCGACTCGAAGACAGAGCCTCTTGAAGGTACGCTCGCAGCCCGATCTTACAGGAAATACTGTTATCACACGCGCGGTACGCTTCTTCACACTGGTCGCAGATGCTTAAAATGCCACCATCCGTACCATTCCAGTGAGGATTCTCCGGTATGTCTTCACTCCAAGTCAGATTCACGTACGGTGGGGGTGGCACGTACTCGAATGTGCTCAGATTGAGTGGAGATAACTGGAAGCGCAGTTCACTACCACGAGCTGTCCAAGTCATATTCGATGACGAGCTATCAGTCGGATCATCTCCCACCACGAAGACATCCAAGAAGTTGGGCACAACGCTGACATTTCGAAGCGATATCTCCACTGTGAATTAAAGCTCGGGTTCTGGGAACGGGTCTGCAAACCACAACGGGCCTGGACTATCACTGCCCTGACCAACATCTGGAGCTGAGCCATCCGAGCCGTCCCTGTCTTGTCCAACGTTATAGTAAAAACCGTCCGAGCCCCCACCTACCGGTGGATACTGGTCGCCATGTGAAGCTGCAGTGTATGTCGCCCACGCAGACGATGCGTCGGCTTGAGACCCACCAGAGTTGTAGTAGTTCTTTATCCAGTAGTTATACTTTTTAACCCACTCGATCACTTCAGAATTATTGAACACACGGACATCAAAAGCCAAGTTGTAGTCACTGGCATTGGGGACAGCAGCGGTGATCAATTCGACCATTTCTTCGACCGAGTGATCACTAGACAACTCAGGCGTCGTAAAATGGCCATCGGATCCAAGACCCTCCAGTCCCATCCAGATGTAAAATCTGTAGCTGGGATCATTGAAACTTACACGAACAAAGGCGCGATCGTGCTCCAAGACCACCATTCGACCAGCTGCCTCTGCGAAATTGCGGTTGCCAACGGGACATCTCGCCTCGACAAAGCATTGAATGCCAGTGTCCGTTTCCCGAGCGATATCCAGCGCTGTTCTCACGTCCCTAACGGAAGGCCAATCGCCGACATTTGGACCACCCGGAGATCCAGACGACCAGCTGGACCCCCCGGCATCACCATTTAGATTCTGACCCTATGTCTCGGTATCCCCACGAAGACCAGCGTGATCCAGAGTCGTCATAGCGATAGACTGGTTCGCGGAATACAGAAGACCAACGAGGCACATCGTTATACCGATAGTCTCCACTTGACCCCGACCCAGGACCGTTCCATCCGTAGCCGACGTCACCAAATCCGGACCCAGACGAAGATCGACGATCACCTGCGTTTGCAAATCCCGACGAGTCTGAAGACCATGACCCGTCACCAAGTTTGCCATTTAGCAGCCAGCGCAGACCAAAGCAAGCGTCCACGACGTTGTTTGCGTTGTAATTAAAATTATTTGAGCTCGTGTCGTCAACTCTCCATCCCTCCATCCCAGTCCATCTGCTCGTTTGCTGATCGCTCGTACATGCCCTGGAAGATCCTTTCCGACACGTGACCATGAAGACATCGAGCTATCAACGGGTGGTTCATAACTTGCTGATTGCAGGCATCACAGGCATCGCTGGGACGCGCAGGGTTCCACGGAAGATCACTGCCATATCGACGGCGGTTGAAAACCACATCCAGCGTCATGGCATTCGGCGCAGAGGTGAGATTCTTGTCATCTTCCGGGTACTCGAGGGATGAGTAGTAATCAACTTGAAATAGCTGTGAGCCCGTGAAGTTAAGTACACGTGGCATCATTACCGATGTGGCTCCACTGCCTTCGCGCTTGGCTATTACACGAAGCAACAATTGATCACTTGCCCCCCACTCGTCGATGATGTCTTTGTTCATCTCCCCGTCAGTTATATTGCCATCAGGATAACCAGGTAACAGCGTGTAGAGCTGTTTGAAGCTCAGAATCACGTCCATTTCGTCAGACTCCGGATACAACGTCCACGTGGTCTTGCGAGTCTCGTTGAACTTTCTCGCCATCTCCTCGACCTTCCAGCTTGATATGTTTCTTGGTGTGGCTCGTTCTTCCGGAGAGAATCCACCGAGAACTAGAGGTGTTGGAGACCCGTCGTCGCCTTCCTTGGCGTGCCAGAACCCGTCTCCGTAGATACGTTCAGCGCTATCATATCGATCCAGCACGAAGGCGTCGAAGTCCGACAGCACGCCGTACGACGAATGATCCGTCATGTGGACACACCAGTCTCGCCACCCACAGTCAGCACGCCCACCTTCGGCTGTTGCTCCGACGAGCGAGACGCTTTGCTTCGCTCCAAAGTAGAACGATCGACGCGACGCGATCTCCGGAGTCGGTGGAGTCCCCCTATTCTCAACGTACATCGTGCCATCAGGCGGGTACGGCGAGTCCCAGTTCCAGGACGGCCGGAAGTGCCAAAGTTCCTTGCTCGGGTCCCAGCCAGCGTCGCCGTCCCAGCCCCAGCCACTGCCACTGCCGCCTACACTGCCCCAGTTACCCCAACTGGAGCCGCCAGAGTACCCCACGTCGTTGTAACTTCCCGTTCCCGAAGAACCCGAATTCGACGACGTTGTCGTCCAGGCTGAATCACCGGAAGAGTCTGACGTACTATCCGGCTCAGCCAGGACAGCTCCGAATGCGAGGGCGCATAGCGCAACTTTCATTGCGTCTGTGACCTTGTCTACTTGCTCGATTCCTCAGTTCCGCCTTCTATGCTTTCTTCTAATCTTGCCCCGCGGTAGCTGCGGCGAACCCAGCGATTTGAAGACTAGAAGATCTAAAGAGACATAAACCACCGTCCACATTGCTTTAGCACAGAAAGACCTCGCGCCTGCTCGATGAGTAGTCGCCGCCTCACTGTGAACAGACACAATTCCACGAAAAGACAACTACCTACAGTATCATCATCACTTGTTTCTTACCGGATTAATTCAATTGGATCCGCGACAATTGACAAATCCACTTGACTGCTGACTGCATTAAATGCAACGAATAGACAAATTTTGTCTATTCGTTGTGAGGCTTGTCAGAGGTCTCCTTTGCGGTGGGAGCTCCATCAGCAACATCTCCTGGTCGCTGGGTATCCACAGGATAGATCCATCGCTGGTACAAATACACAACGAAGACGATATCGTCTCGGAAGCACGAGATGCGGTGTAACGTCGGCATTTTGATCACGAAGGCAAACAAGTCGTCGATGAACGTGTTGAGAGCACGGTAGATGAGTAGACGCCATTGCAGATGAGCCACTGACTTGAGTCGGTAGTTGATGACCAACTGTGGGAGCATGAACACGAAGCCCAAGGCGTATACTGTTGTAGTAAGAGATTCGAGCAGCCAGGCGTACCAACCAGCATGTGGGACGTACAACAGCGAGTACACGGCGTAACCAGCAGCTAGAGGAACCAGTATAAACAGCATGTGTGACGTAGCCAGAGCGTCGGCACGTTGAGTCTCCTCCAGCAGGCGAAGACTGTGTTTATCCATCGTCTTCGTCTTGTCCTCAGTTTCTTTGATTGATTCAGTGGCGTTGCTTTTAAGATACCGACGCTGAGCTCTCCAGACCTTCGTAACTTTCCAGACGAGCAGTACGACGCTGATAAATTGCGGGCCTGTGACGAGCAGCGTCGATTCCTGGTCGACAAGGTACAGTAAAACCACGCTCTGCGAGCCTAATTCAGCCGCCATAGCACGCAGAGAAACACCAACAACGTTGTCTCCTTTGGCACGCCAGTAGCTCACATCGTGACGGAAAGCTAGCCAGTCAAAAAGCAAATGTAGCAGTGACACGCTCATCGTGACAGCCAGAAGAATCGGATGCGTGTCAGTCACCATGGAGCGGAGTGCATCAAGATCACTCGACGGCACACCCATTTGCTCTTGGGAGGCGAAAACCGTTGCAAACGTCAGCTGCATCTGCCAGCGCGCGAAGGACAGCGGCGACCATGACAGTCGCAGCGGGAGAACAGCGTCACCACCATTGCCATTGTCCAGCGTCGAATTCAGAGGCACGAGCTTGTCTTGAGTCTGCGATAAATCGTCCACATAGAGTGCTGGCAAGTAGCGCCAACGCTGATCCATCGGGTGCTGCACGTAGCGCAAGTTCTGGTAAACCATCACAGGCAGTTCCTCGACTGGGTATCTCGTGAAGTCCGTCACAAGGCGGACACTCGCTGCTGGTTTCCAGTACGAGATTGGTGCTGTTTCGTCCTGCACCGTCGATTTTGAGTCACTTTGTGGCTTAGCTGGGGCCAATAACAAGCTCGTGTTCTTCGCATTAGGCCTGGGTGCATATTTGATAAGACTGGAGGCCTGGTGGATGGTTCTGTACTGGTCGAAGTGTTCTGTGTCCTTGGGGTCGGGCGAGAACCCTGCATGTGTCACGTGGACGTGCAGGAACACAGACGCGTTGCCCTTCAGCGCGCTCCAGACCTGTTTAGCCGTCCTAGAGTCGTCTGCGAGCTCTGCGAGCATTTTGTGAGAGATACTGAGGTCCAGATGACGGGAGTTGGAGCTTTCCCAGTCGAACGTGAGCGACTTGAAGTCTCCCACGTGTACTGCTCCAGTTTTGAAGTCCTTGACCGCATCCCATTCCTGGTGAGAAGACAAGTAGCACGTCACGTCCAGTGGTTGTCCTTCGCCCCACAGCGGGTCCAGTGTGTTCGGGTTATCCGAGAAAGTCGGGTACATGATCCTGTACACCTGCAGCAACCATATTCGAACACGTCATTTGCAAGTGTGCATACTTCATGTCGACTTCCTACGCACCTGTTTACTCACGAACGCCATGTACGCCGACTAGATACATAAGGAATCACAACAGCCACACAGCGACACCCAAAGAGTTCAGGAAAGAGCGAACAAAATCACAGAACTGATGTCAGCCACTTCTACAAACGTATCCGAGGCTACAGAGCGCTCTAAACACCGTAAACTACTCACAAAGATCGCACAGGAGACGGTGGTAAAGGTAATCCATGAACATAGCGCTTTAAGCACCCCCATGTCGCCGCAATATCTCGATCACGTGCGCCTCAGCTCGCGAATTCCGCACTGGTGTGCACTATGGAAGTGACAACGTGGCATCGAGTGCGGAATTGATGTGGGAAAGAAAGGCCACACCAAACTAAGAGACCATCACTCTGAAAAGCAATTTATTATCCAATGCGATAGCGTAAAATGGATTTTCAGCCAATCTTCTTGATCCGAGTTTGTCCGCCAGTCAACATCGGGCGTTCATTTAGACTTCGGCCGGATGGCGACCATGTTGCTAGGGCGGAGGCTGCTGCAGGCGTCGACGCAGGACTCGGCTAGCGACGATGAGACGCTGCGCACCTTGAAGGCGCATGACCACTTTTTCTGCGACACAATGGAGATCATTCCGGCGGCGTTTTACTTCCCCACGGACGCCGAGGCCAACTGGAAGAAGTCGGCGCCTAAGAAGTACCACAAGGTGAGGGACCTAGACCCGTTTCCAGCACGAATTGCAGCACTCAGCTGATAGAGCATCATTTTGCGCGTGCAATGAGAGACTTGTGGTGTCTGTACGATCTGTAAAGCGACTCTGACGTCTGATTATGTGTGATTACCTGTGCTGTTTCAGAACGTCCAAGCGCTCAAGCAGCAGGAATCATCCAAGAAGAGCCTCAAGCGCGCCAAATTTTCTCCAGCTACACAACAAAGTAACGAGGAGCGACAGAAGGCCAATGCGGCCGCCGAAAAGAAGGAACAGGCACAGGTCAAGCCGATCAACCCAAGTGCCGCCAAGGAGGAGGGAGGTCTGGAGGGTCTCCGTGCACGTCTGGCCGTCAAGATTCAGGCCATGCGTGAGCAACGCAAGGCGGAGGAGAAGACGGGCAAGAAACGTCCGTCCCGTGCGGAGGCGGCGGCAGAACAGCGTGCACTGAAGAAGCGCAAGACTGCAGCCAACAAGAGCAAGGCCAAGGCCGAGAAACGCGAGCAGGAGGCGGCATCTAAGACTGAGGGCGAAGCACAAGCGAAGAAGGACGCGGATACTACAGTGGACGCGGGCTCCATCTCATACGGCAGCCTGCTACTTGACGACGGCAACGATAAGGACAACAAGCCCAAGACTCGTCACGGACAGAGTGTGCGTGGCATCCAGAACTTGTTGAAGAAGGCGGAGCGCAATGCGCAGCGTCTGGAGGAGCTGAAGAAGACGCAGGACGGTAAAGAAAAGGTGAAAGCAAAGGGCTGGGACACGGCTCTCCAACAGGCTGCAGGTACCGTCGTGATGGACGACCCGAAGCTGCTGCGTGCGAAGCTGAAGAAGAAGGAGAAGGCAAAGGCCAAGAGCTCGAAGGAGTGGAAGGAACGTACGGCAAAGCTGGAAGTGTCCAAGAAGGAACGACAGAAAAAAGAAACTTGCTAATGCACTTGGTCGTGGCCAAGAATGTCGCTGCCAAGCCTGTGAAGAAGAAAGGGCCGAAAAGGACCGGTACGTATGCAGATTCATTTGGTCCCTAGGTCGTCTGTACTGACATTGGTGTGTTTGGTATGATAGCGTGCTGGTTTCGAAAGGCAAGAAGGGCGAGGCGTTCTTAAATACTGACAAGAAGGGAGGCAAACCCTGCTGGCAAGAAGTCGGCAGGACCCAGTAAGTAGCTGGAGAAGCCAGGTATATTATATAGACTGTCAGTATGCGTCATGCGCTGTGTTCGCCTACGTGTAGTCATCTAGAGGATCGAAGTAGATAGTTCTACAAAATGCTACAACCGCCGCCGCCCTGACCGCTCTGTTGCCACGGGTTCGGTCCGCTGTCGTTCTCTCCGAGGAACGGATCGGCCGTACTCTGGCAGTACTCGGCGATTCTGGGCACACAAGCAACACAGTGAGTGAGTCTATCGATGCGTCTTCAACTTTTAAAAGCGATGCGAACGCACTTCTTGGCCGCTTCGGATGTGGTGCAGGAGGCTTCAAGCGTCTTGAGGTCGATCTCGAGCCGTGCGATCTCCTCCGAGAGCTTCTTGGAGGCTGCGTCGGACATGGTGTCTGTTGTCGTGCTGTGTCGAGTAGTGAGAGCTGCACTGCCAACTCGAAAGTGACCGCTCGCTGTTTTCTATCTTTTCCAAGGGAAACTGCTTCCAAGTTGCTGCATCGCCTTACGGTGCGCTAGCTTACGGCGCGCAACTCAACAAATTGAAGTGAGGATCAGTGTCGTGCATGTGAGCATGAGTAGAGTAGCCGGTTTATAAACACTTATGAGCGACTGCTTCGAAGGCAATAGCGAGAGTTGAGTTGTGCATGTATCGGATACCATCCATTCTACTTCGACAAAATATTCAATGCTATTATAGAACGAGCAAGAGAGGTCTTGAAAGATATTTGAGCTCAGATGTTTTTTTTGTTATATTCTTAAAACTATTAAAATAGTAGGTGCACCTCCGCTCCCCAGTAGATTAAGTATTGATCTGAGTAACCAACAATGCTGGCTACACGGTCAAACACACAGCCCCACTTTAAAGCGTGTTGCCCCGCGCATGACCAAGCGCTAAACAAGGAGTTTTGAGTCAGCGCGTCGTGTAGCTGAAGAAATAGCAGATTGTACCAATTAGTACCCGAACTTCTAAACATTTGTGCCCTCTTGCTTTTAATCGGTTTTGAAGGCTTCCGTCGTGTTAATCTAATCCAACTCCTTTCTTTTTTTAGATACGGTTTCAAGGTCGCGTACGAAGGACGTTAATTAACAGACCGGGTTTCTATTTGATACAGGACTTCTGACAGCAAATTTCAAAATGAGTAGCAGGCTCTTATTTCATACGGGTTTGTAAATGGTGCATTATATACGCTTCGATCTCGACGATGACACGATGCACTTTCCTCCAGTCGTTTAAATTGGAGTTCGACGCCTTCGAACCAGCTTTAAATTCTCTTCCATCTTCTTATCGAGGCTTCTGGCCCGCTCCCAAATTTGTGCGCGACATGGGCGCCTGCACAAAGTCCAATTTAACACAGAGTGTCAACCGTGCAATGGATTCGTGGGGATACCATGGCGGAACGACCTGAAGAATTATGTCAACTTCAAAGGTTTTGGCTTCGTCAGCGCTTGGGTCTGGTTGCAGTGCAGTTAAACTATCAAACGGTTAAAACTCTAAATTGCATCAACAATATTTTATTTTTAACCCCTAAGCTGCGTTACGATGTGTCGGCTATGTGACCGTTACGCTGTAAACGCCAATAGACTTGATTTCTGTATAAGCGTATACAAACTTCAAAATTAAAATATCGTACAAGAGATGTGCATGTGAGCCCATCCTTTCAGGTTAGGCGATTGAAGAACAGTTCATCATTTCTCGATTTTTGGACATAAATATTTGGAGGTTTAAAGCAATCATTTCGCACAACAATAGATTTTCGTAGGTAACTTTCGCGCCAATTCCCCTCTCCACTCAGTTTAAAATTTCGCGGGCGAGTGGAAGCAATGGTCAGCACGCGTGGAAGCGCCCCCATCACGAAAAACAATACTGTACCAGATACGGGGGTGGCAAGCGCTACGTTCAAGGTCACATGGGAGACATTCGCCGCTGCTGGTTGGACGTCGGAGGCCCCACGCGACATCGAGAGGCGGTGGAAGTACGTGAAACCCGGGAGAGATCCTAACGGGGCGGATGGAGTCGACTACTTGCTGGGGGAGCAGGCGGTTGTGAATTACGCGCTTGACGATACGATGGAAGTCTCGGTAAATCAGTATTTTACCTCGCACTAACGATCTTCTTGTACGGACAGTCGCGAGGCAGGAGACCGTAGCCGAACCTGCGAAGCCACCTGCAACCAAACCGCCGAACATAATCGTGAAGAAGCCAGAGACGCCCACTGTCAAGACGCCCAAGGCGCCTGCCTCCAAGAAGTCCACGCCGTCCGCGACTAAGGCGCCTGCCTCCAAGAAGTCCACGCCGTCCGCGTCGACCACGTCGTCCGCGACTAAGGCTCCTGCCTCCAAGGAGTCCACGCCGTCCGCGTTGACCACGTCGGTCGCGACTAAGGCACCTGCCTGTAAGAAGTCCACGCCGTCCGCGTCGACCACGTCGTCCGCGACTAAGGCTCCTGCCTCCAAGAAGTCCACGCTGTCCGCGTTGACCACGTCGTCCGCGACTAAGGCACCTGCCTGTAAGAAGTCCACGCCGTCCGCGTCGACCACGTCGTCCGCGACTAAGGCTCCTGCCTCCAAGAAGTCCACGCTGTCCGCGTTGACCACGTCGTCCGCGACTAAGGCTCCTGCCTCCAAGGAGTCCACGCCGTCCGCGTCGACCAAGTCGCCCGCGTCCAAGTCGACTGCGCCGTCCACGTCGAAGTCATGCAAGTCGTCCGCGACCAAGTCGTCCATGCCGGTCTCGTCCAAGGCGTCCAAGTCGGGTACGTTGCTTTGCTCACATGCGCTTATTGCTAGTAAGTGTTCTAAATGCTGTATATACTGTATTGTTGGGCTGTATATACAGCTGCCGAGTCCACCAACATGTCGTTCGCGCAGACAAGAAGTGATACCCTGCTGGAGATATTTGATCCAGCGGAGACTAACGGTAAGCGTGGTCTAGTGTGGTATATATACATGATAAAACAATATTTCTAACTTGTATTTTGCGCTGTATTGAAATAAGCTGTGTTTGATTCTCATCAAAGCCAAGACGATATTGAATCGGGGCAACCAGGTATGTCCAGATCAAAGTTGTATATACATGATACTCTTTCCAACTAACCTGTATATGTATGACGTATATGCTGTTTTATACGGGCGCTCAACAATTGACATCATTGTCGACGACGACGGCAATATCAACACTGAACCCAACGGAAACAAGGGCTATCACGTGCTAGACTCTGGCAGCGAGTCCGAAGGAGATGATTTGAGTCAAATGGATGGAAGTGATTCCGATTCATCTGCTTCCGACTCTGCTGATGAAGAAGACGAGGAGCTGTACGATCAAGAAGAGCGGTTCTTCGCGGACAAGTTCCTAAGCACGCTCGGAGGGCAAGAACGAATTCTTGCTGATGAAGTCGTCGGCCCCGCGTTGAAAGAGGTCTCGAAGACGGGATGGCATGATGTTGAAACCCCCGACGTCACCGGGTTTTTGGAAAATCCATACACGCCTGTCTCGGATGCTAACGAGTATCCTGGTTTGTGGAGCGGTCATCACGGGCCCACCCAATCGGCGTTGAGACGCGGAGGATCCCCTCTTTCCCTCTTTTTCCTGTTCACGCCGGTGGCGATTTGGCAGCACATGGCGGAATGTAGCAACTTCTACATGCATGAACAACTGGATAACCGAGTCGACGCGTACTTTGAGAGGAAGGAAGAACGGGAGCAGAAGAATAGGAGCTCCGGTCGACCCGTGTCAACTACGAAGACGAAGACCCGGCGAGACATCCGACAACAATTTCTATCGGTGAAGCCAATAATGCCACACGAGCTGTGCATCTACATTGGGCTATTGATAGCGCGCACCGTGTCACCAAATCGTGAGAAAGCTCGCCAATCACTGGCGCGGGGGTGATTTTGGAGCAATCTCTCGTGGTATTTTCGGACGCTTCCTCCCCCGTGATCGCTTTATGAAAATCACCCGAAACCTCCATTTCAACAGCAATCAAGACCCCCGTGCTACACGTGACCGTGCTTGGAAAATACGTTCGGTGGTGACCGTTTTGTAGCAGACGTTTGTACGTGCGTTTATCCCCCCCGTTGAGCTGGCTTTTGATGAAGCGATGCTTCCGTGTCGGTCGTCTTACAATCGCACCCGCGTGTATATGAAAGATAAGCCGTACAAATGGGGCACCAAGCTATTTATGCTTTGCTGTGCACACTCTGCTTATTTCATTCGGTACGGAGGTAAACATGTTTTGCTGTATTAGCTGGGCCACTTATGCCGTAGATTCATGTCGTGATGTACAGCTTTGAAGTCTACAGCGGTAAGAACCAGTATAATGCTGAGAACGGCGCGGTCGACATGCAGTCAGGTCCTGCCGCTGTTGTGCATAACATGCGAGCCGTTTTTGGTAAAACTCATTCAAACCATGGGTCAATTCGACTCGTGGTGGTTGATCGATTTTACACTTTGATCGTGTTAGCTGTGCAGCTGCTACTCATGGGTTTCTATACTATTGGCTCTATCATGACTAACCGTCGGGGTTTCTGCCAAGACGTAAAGACGAAGAAGAAGTCAAGGCCAAGACCATTCCAAGAGACACCTTGTCGTTCGCACGGTCAAAGCTTGTGAAAGGGATGACATCAATTTCCTGGTGGGACAGCAAACCTGTCCACCTTCTCTCGGTGGGAGGAAACATTGCGTTGGATCGTGTGCAACGACGCGAGAAGACTGGAGAGCAAAACTACGTGGCGTTCCCTAAGATAATCAGGGATTATCATCGCTATATGGGCGGAGTTGATGTCCATGATCAACTCCGCCTACAACGATACTCTGTGCAGCGCTCGATCAAGTTCCGAAAATACTACAAGTCACTGTTCTTGGGCCTTGTTGATTTAGCGATCACCAACGGCTTCATTGTGCATCGCGCTTACTGCAAGAATACGAAGATCAAGCCTCTGACACACGTGCAGTACATGTGCAAACTGCACCAGGATCTTCTCGCTCTCACCGTGGACGACATGTACGAGGAAAACACGTTTCAACCGGGTAAGTCATTGTGTTGTATCTACCGCTTCGGTTAAGCTGTACATACAGCTGAGCTAACCTGTATGCGTGGTAGGCGAAGCAGCGTCTGCTAACGAAGGCGGTGGAGTGAAGGAAGCTGATTCTACTGGTCATGTGGTTAAGCAAAGTGAAGAATGGCGAGATCACTCCGGCCAGCGAAAGCATGTCCAGAAAAACTGCAAGGTCTGTACACTCAAAACACCAAATGGCAAGCGCGGAGCTACTTCGACATACTTCGGTGACGGCTGCGACTTCCCCGGGCCTACTATATATCTTTGCGTAAAGCCGAAGTGGATCGTGAGTGACAAGATGTTGAGCTGCTGGGACGTCTGGCATAAGGAGTACAAGAACGGCAAGGCCATTCCGGAGGTCGTTAGAGGCAGG